CCCCCCAGGCAGCCCCTTCCCCTATGGGGACATATAGGGCGCAGCCCCCCCATAGAGCCATAAAAACACCCCAAATAACAAGATTTTATGAATTTATTGTGATTGGTGCTGCTGGAAATCCAAATCCAAGTAATTTAATGGGATACGGAGCTCCCCCCGTTCCCAGAGCGGCAGGGGTTAATTGAACGATATTAATTGGGATAATTAACGTTCATAAATCTAAACGAGCTCCGTCCGCCCCGAGCAGCTTTTTCCCCGCGGGAATTTTGGGATGGGCGTTTTTCCCTTGGGGACAAGGGAAGGGGGTGCAGCAGCCGGGCGCTTCCCCCGCTCCGGCTTCCCTTGGATGGGGCAAATCCTGGATGGGGGGGAAACAAGGCGGATGTGGATCCAAACCACCAGCCTCCCCGGAACCTTTTGGAGGCCAAAACTGATAAAAAAAGAGGGATAACAGAGGGAAAAACGAGGGCAGCGGGTGGATGGCGGCCCCGGCTGTTCCGGGTCGCGGCGCTTCCTTCCCGAGGCTCCGCGGAGGCTTCCGCGGGCGGGTTAATATTGGAGAGGCCGAGGAGCGAGGCCAAGGCGACCTCTGCCCGCGGAGGCCGCCGCGGCGCCGGCTCTATCGCCGAGGGACTTTGCGACTTGATCCGCGCCGTGACCCGGCGCGCGGGGCGGGAGGCGGCGGCCGAGCGCTGGGATGGTGGGGAAGCGCGGGATGCAGCGCCGGCGAGGGCTCCCGCGCGCCTCCCGGAGCGCCGGGAAGAGCGGAGCAGCGAGCGCGGTTAAGGCTCGCGCGGCGGCCTCCGCGCTCCGGCCTCCGCTTTGCTCCCGGTGCCGCGGGCTCCTCCGGCAGCGGGAGCGCGGGAGGCGCCGGGCGGGCTGCGGGGGTCCGCGCGCTCTCCTTCGTCCTCTTCATCCTGCGGGATCCAACGGGGAGTTTTCCCAACACCGCTCGAGCCAGCGGGAACGCGCTCCCGGCCAGAGCGGGTCCCGCTTTGGAGGCTCCCCGGCCTCCAGCCCAGGGGATCCAAGGACAGAGAACTTGAGCCAACCTCGAGCCAGCCTCAAGTCAACCCTAGAGTCAGCCCTAGAGCCAAGCTAGAGCCAGTCTCAAATCAACCCCAGAGCCGGCCCTAGAGCCAGCCTCAAGTCAGTCCTAGAGCCAACCCTAGAGCTGGCCCTAGAGCCAACCTCAAGTCAGCCCTACAGTTGGCCCTAGAGCTGGCCCTAAAGTCAACCTAGAGTCAACCCAGATCCAGCCCTAGAGCCAGCCTCAAGTCAGCCCTAGAGCCAACCCTAGAGCTGGCCCTAGAGCCAACCTCAAGTCAGCCCTAGAGATGGYCCTAGAGCCGGCCCTAAAGTCAACCTAGAGTCAACCCAGATCCAGCCCTAGAGCCAGCCTCAAGTCAGCCCTAGAGCCAACCCTAGAGCTGGCCCTAGAGCCAACCTCAAGTCAGCCCTAGAGATGGYCCTAGAGCCGGCCCTAAAGTCAACCTAGAGTCAACCCAGATCCAGCCCTAGAGCCAGCCTCAAGTCAGCCCTAGAGCCA